TGAAGAGTGCAATTAAAAAATTATATCTTAATAACACATAGTTGCTATCCCAAGACTAAAACAGGATTTTCTGCCTGTGTTAGTGTTTTTCCAGCTGATAATGTAAAAATCTGAGTATTTTCCACAAAAAATGTGGAATCTTCAAATATACTCTAACCATACTTTCATTAAATAATTGGATGAGTTCACATCAAATGCAATGCTGATATAAGCTTGCATGGTAGCCTGGAGCGCCTACTCTCTTTCAGAGCACTTGTGTAAAAGTTCCATTCTCTTCTTTCTTGCCATTCTCTTTGCCACACTGCAGTGATATAGGCAGGAGAGTGTGTGTGTGTGTTGGAATCATTTTGCTAATCACTAGGATGCTTCAAAGGTGCATCGGATACCTTTACCCCAGAAGGCTCGGATCTGTATAAAAGGCACTAGAACTGAAGAACAGACTCAGTTTATGGGAAGAAAGGGCGCCAGGAAGGACAATTCACAACAGTGGGCCCAGGGGGAAATCTTAGGGTAGTGGAGTATGAGAAGTCCAAATGATGTGTAAAAATAAACAGTGTGATAAGATTGGGCAGGATAAGAAAGGCTGTGCTAGACTGAGGAATTTGGGCATCATTCTCAGACAGTTGGGAGCTATTACAGGTTTTTCAGTTGTTTAATGATGTGGCCATGGCTGGGATGCATAATCTCTTATTACAGTAAACTTTGATGTCTCTGTTTCCCATGCCTCCCATGTCCCTTCCATGAACAACTCTATTAGTTCTACTTGCAGAATATACCGCAGACCCAGCTCCTATAGACAGCCTCCATTGTCACAAGGCTCACCCAAGCCACTGTGAACTCTTAACTGGGCTGCCACAGCAGCTGCTTTAGTGGCTTGTTGCTTTTATGCTTGCCTTGTTGTTACATTCCGCATAGCTAAGTAACTTTTACAAGTCCAAATTAATGTGACCTGGCCTTGCCTCTCTCTTAAACTCATGTTCTATTCTCTCCTCCCTCCCTCCATCCTTCCCTCCCTCACCACAGAGTCTCTGCATTTGCCAGTTGATCTGCCTGGAATGTTCTTTCCTCAGATTATCACATGGTTAGCTCCTTACCAAAAGAGGCCTTCTTGCTCTTTGATGTAGACGAGGCCCAGCACCAGTGACAGTCTCCATCATTTACCTGGATTCATTTTCTTCACAGCACTTACTGCTATTGGGTGGATCTCCATATTGTTCTGTGAGTTTAATACTTGTCCCCCAAGCTGCTCAACTAGATGTATGCAGGGACTTTGCTCACTTCTATATCCCCAGTGCCTGGAAGAGTCCTGGCATGTAGTACATTTTTATTGCATTAATTAATTTAGAGATTTGAACTACTAGAGCAGAAGGCTGTTTGGAGCTGATTGCAGGGTTTCTTGGACAATGGGAGTACATTGAGGGTCTTGTCAGTGGGAATGAAGGGAGTAGGGCAGGCAAAAATGAGGTCATTTTTGATGAGGGAGAACTAACAGATAAAAGTATTTAGAGCTTAGATAAGCTATAGGAGCCTAGAAAAAGTTTCTGGATTTGGTGGTAAAAGGAACAGTTTTAGAAGTGCCAAGTGTGAGTGCTGCTGGGGTGGAGGTGTCCAGCACACAGTTGCATTTTGAGATTATTCAGAGATTTTTTTCATTACCTGAGAGGCACTGCTAGCAAAGTTCATGGCTCAGAAGATGCTAGGGGAAGCCATATTTCCTACTCAACAATAGCATGGCCATAGCAAGTGATTGTGATTGAACCTCTCTGAAGCTCAGGTTCTTCATCTGTAAATGATAATAAAATGTCTCATGGCAGGGCCATTGAAAATTAAACTCCTCCTCTCAGTGTATCATATTTCCCCCCGCCCCCGCTTTTTTTTTAGCTCATCAGTATGAGATTGTTTACTCTGGCTTTTCACATCCTAACTACATAGTATACTGTGATTCCATTTCATTTCTTGTACAAGTCTTGTTATTATTTTTTTGGTATCAGTCACTCTTTCATCTCCAAACTTCTCTCAAAATCTGAAACATTTTTTCTCAATAATTTCAAACCAACATGTATTCAGTTTATTTTTCCCTGCCCTTAGAATTACCTTTCCTGGCCTCCTCTGGCTTCATGCTCCAATTTGGACGATTTGCTCTCTCAGTTTGCTGCATAGCTGTGTCACTGGAATCCCATTATCTTGTTTTGTTTTGGATCCTCTGCATCCAGGTCTTATTTATTCTTCATTATTTACCTCACTCCTTCATTCTGTCAAGGCACAGTCATCCTGTAGCTTTCTGAGGAAGAATGCATGGGAGGTAAACTCTTTGAGACTTTGTAGCATTTTATTCTGCTTTTATACCGTCTTGACCTTTTGGCTGAGTATAGAATTCTAGGTTGGAAATAACTTTTCCTCAGCATTTTAGTGCCTCATCTTTTAGCTTTAGGTGTTATTGAGAAATTTGATGTCATTATAATACCCTTATTTCCCATGTGATCTTTTCTTCCCATTTGAAAGGTTTTAGACCCTTCTCTCCTTCCTTAGTATCTTAATATTTCATAGTGATAAATCTTCATGGGGCTTTTTCTCATGAGCTGTACTGGGAGGTTGATGGACTTTTTCAATTTGAACACTCATCTTCAATTCTTGGAAATGTTTTTGAATTATTTCTTGGAAATTTTACTCCTTTTTTCTAGTCCCTCTTTCTGAAACTCCTGTTATTTGCATGTTGGAGAATTCTGGCCTAGTCTTATTATTTTCTTATATTTTTCACCTGTCTTTTTAAGTTTTTTTTTTTTTGAGACGGAATCTTACTCTTTTGCCAGGCTAGAATACAGTGGCACAATCTCAGCCACTGCAACCTCTGATTCCCTGGTTCAAGCGATTCTCCTGACTCAGCCCCTGAGTTGCTGGGATCATAGGCACACACCATCACGCCCAGTAATTTTTGTATTTTTGGTAGAGACGGGGTTTCACCATGTTGGCCAGGATGGTCTCAATCTCCTGACCTCGTGATCTGCCCGTCTCAGCCTCCCAAAGTGCTGAGATTACAAGTGTGAGCCACCGCGCCAGCTTCTAATTTGTTGTTGTTGTTGTTTTACTTTTCTTCTGCTCAGTACACCTGCCCAAATTTTCCCTGTGTTACTATTTTATTTTAGTTTCTGTCTTTCCTAAAACAGAAGCCTAACTAATACACCTGGTAATCCTAGATTGTCTGTGCTTTTTTAATAGTTAAATACCAACTGTTTGGTATTAACTATTTAATAAACACCAAGCTGAACTAAAAACCTTTTGTGTATGAATCATATTTGTCATCTTGAAGCCCTTATTTAGGCAAGGACACGTCTTTTCTTTTGCGGGGGTAGGGAGTGGTCTCTCAAGTAGGTCTTTACTCTTTAGTTGGCTGGGTTGCCAGAAAGGGATTATCCTGTCTCTTCTTGGAGGATATCAGCTTGATTTCTTGCATCCTAGGAGCCGGTTATGTCACTGTTTAGCATAAAGGCTTACTTACACCTAAGCAACCTGTTTTCAGTGTGCAGCCTCTTTCCTGCCCTGGGCTAACCCTGATGTTCCCAAGTCTCAACTCTCTCTGGTTCACCTTCTCTAGAGACTAAATATCCTGGTATTCTCAGGGTTAGAGAGGAGTAACTTCCTTTTTGGAAAGGAACTGCAGTTCTGATCTTCTCTTCTAGATCAGGAGTTGGCAAAATTTTTCTGTAAAAGAGCCAGAAATAAAGATTATGGGCTTTGCAGCCTATAGCATGGTCTCTGTGGCATATTCTCCTCCTCCTCTTCTTCCTCCCCCCCCCCCTTTTTTTTTAACAACCCTTCCAAAAGTAAAAAGAGAACAAAATAATGGCATTCTTAGTAGGACAACCTCTGGTCTAGAGGATCTTTTGGACACTCTCAGCCAACCATCTTTTATCATCTCTACCTTGTACCCATGCCCAAGTTCCTTCAAGAGAAACTTGAAGCCTTCAGTTTATGAATGCTTTTCCATTTTATGGCAAAACTGGCTTGGTTTCCTGTGGGTTTTCTCCACTCCAATTTCCCCCCGCTCCGTGAAAACTTACGTTTCAGCTTTCATGGGTTTGCTAGGTGAGCAACCACTTACCTGTCTTCTCACCATTTTCCAAAAGGTCAGTTTTTTCGTTTTCTGCCTCTTTCTCTGCCCTTATTGGGCTATGGCTTTTTTCTTCCTTTTCCATCAGTTCACTTGGATTTGGGGAGGGATGGAGAAAACTGCATGTGTTTAATATACTAAGTTTAACCAGAAGCTCCCACCAAGTCCAATTTGGTAGGGTTTGATTATTATTACTCTCTTTGATAGTGCTTGGGTTAATTTTGCATTTGTTCTCCATGTGCTCACTTGCTATGCCAGATGTTTGAAGAAGATGTCCTTGGGGAAGAAAAATGAGGGGTTTTAAAATATAATGTAATTGAAATGCTCACAGTGGTTCAGTGTGTGAGATTTAAAGAGGCCCAACTCTTTCTAACCACCAGACTCTCATCATAGAAATTCAGTTTCACCCTGATTTGTGCGAACCATCAGAAGCATTTTAAAATGTTCATAATAAAGTTTGTGGTTTATTGTTTCAAATTGCATTTAAGGTAGTAAACTGAAGCTTTTGGTGGTGGGTCCCTGACAGCAGGGAGACCCTGTGGTAAGTGATCTCTCAGAGTTGATCAAAGGGAATCGTTGAGCATTTTTCCCTATATTTGTGTTTTGGTCCTTTAATCTGGTAGTGTTTCCAGTTCCGTTCTGAATACAGTAATGCACACTCCCTCCTCATCTTCTTGGCAGCATGTGGCATTGTCTTTGCGAAATGGCCCCTGTTCAGGCATAAACCTGCCTTTGCCATCGAGTGTATAATGAGATATGGACAATGGTGATTGTCAGAAAATTGGCATCTTTCAAGATCTTATTCATGCCACGTTTTTATTTTAGTAATGAAATGAAAATAAAAAATAAAAAAAAATTCACTGAAGAATGACTACTAGTCCTCTCTGCCTAGGTTCACCTTTCCTCGCCAGTGAAGATGGCGTGCTTGGCGGAGTGATTGTTCTCCGTTCGTGCAGATGTTCTGCTGAGCCTGACTCCTCCCAAAATAAGCAGACACTTTTAGGTAAGTGAGACATAAGCATTGTGTGCGTCTTTCTCTTTTATTTTCTTCAAGAAAAAATGAAAATATTTATATCCTTAAGTCAATAATTTTAAACTGCAGGAGGGTCAGCATGATTTACTGCTGTCTGAATATCCCCAATCTACTGATCTTGTACCATAAGTAAGCATGTAAAAGATGAATGTTCATTTTTAAGTACAGGCTTAGAGAATATATTTCAAATAAGCTTAGAACCAAGGACCTTTACTGAAGTCCAGTAATAAGAACATTGGACCGTGTATTCATGCCCTGTCTTATTCCAGAAAGCATTTGAGGTGACAAGGTACACAGTAATGGAGAGAGAAGCTTCTTCCTGTTTCCCTTCTCCAAAAGGAATGAGAAGCGTGTGTGGAGCTACTGGCCTAGAGATCAGTCCTGCCTCTGTGGCTTGTTAGCCATGACACCTTCGTGCATTGGTCTTACTGTTCCGTGCCACTTCCTCATCTGTAAACCACGGACGTCTGCCCTGCCCTCCTCTTAAAGCTGTGGTGAGGGAGGGTCAAATGCATGTTTTTGCACATGTCCATCCAGATGTGTGGTTTTGTTGCTAGCCAAGCACCAGTGGGGATGAAACCCAGCCCACCCTCTCTTTATGAGGGACTTGTGGGGCTGCCGCTGACCACAGGGTTTTCTTTTTCTAATCCATCTCTCCAGAAGGGACACATTAAAAAATTCTGCGTAAAGGTGACACATACACTAGCAGGGGCACCATATGTTATTTTTTAAGTTAACTTTTAACTGAAGTATACATATATTTAGAAAAGTGTACAAATCATAACTGCATCTGCTTGATGAATTATCACAAAGTGAACCCATCCCCTGTAACCAGCACTTAGATTAAAAGAAATAGAACTTCACCACAATCCCAGAAGTCCCCTTTTGCCCCCTTCTGATCTCTATCTCCTCCAAAGTTAAACAGTATACTGACTTCTAACACCATGGTTAGTTTTACCTGGTTTTATTTGTTATATAAGTTGAATCACGAACATGTATCACTTGTGTCTATCTTCAGTCAACTTTAAGCTTGTTAGATTCTTCCATGTTACTTGCAGTAGGAGTTTGTACATTTTCATTGCTGTATTCTAATCTATTGTATGGAGATAACTCAGTGTATTAGTCTATTCTTCTGTTGTTATTTTGTTTTGTTTTTTAAATACAGCACTATAGGTCATCCACAGGGCTTATGGTAGTTTAACCCTTCCTATAAACTTCCTTACAGAAAGTGTGAGTGGTGCCTAATGTATATTGTGTGATTATTGTCAATTGCTATAGTACACATCCCTTCATAGTTTATAAAATAGAAGAGTGAGTGGTTTTTATGGGTATAAAAATGCTTTTTCTGTAGAAGCCCAAAACATTTTCATAAAATCTTTTTGTTCATTCCTCAGAGAAAAAATACACTTTTAGGTTAGAGGCTTTTTCTCCATCTAGACGCTAACTACCAGCTCTATCTTCTTCTTTTTTTTTTTTTTTTTTTTTTTCGCTATAGTCTCTCTCCTTCTACCCTGTTTATGTAGTACTTAGGTTGCTCCAAGTTGATATGTTTTTTAACAGTCATGTTTTATTAAACCAAGACAAGTAGTGGTTTTTTCCTTTGGTAAAACTACTCTTAATCATCGTTGAATCTTTTGAACATTCTTCCAGTTAGATAGTTAAACCCAACCTGGTTGGCTTTAAATATGTACAGAAGATGGACATGGGCTTTCCATAAAACCTTTGCAGGGACCTGGATGAAGTTGGAAACCATCATTCTTTGCGAATTAACACAGGAACAGAAAATGAAACACTGCATGTCCTCACTCATAAGTGGGAGTCGAATAATGAGATCACGTGAACACAGGGAAGGAAACATCCCACACCGGGGCCTGTTGGGGCATGGGGGACTAGGGGAGGGATAGCATTAGGAGAAATACCTAATATAGATGATGGGTTGCTGGGTGCAGCCTATCACCATGGCACGTGTATACCTATGTAACAAACCTGCGTGTTCTGCATATGTATGCCAGAACTTAAAGTATTTTTTTAAAAAATAACCTCAGAAGAATAACCCTTACTGTTTGGGCAGTGGCGGGTGGGGGAGCATTAAAATTGCTTCACTGATTATTCCTAGAAAGGAGTATCATAGTACTTTGCTGAGCCTGGAATCTTGCCCATTTGCGTTAACCCTCAAAATTGTAAGGTCTTTTTGGTTGTCTTTTCACATTTGGTGGCATAAAAATGCATATTTAAGAATAAGTTATAGTATTTTAGCTCATGTTATATAGTTTTTATTACCAACATAGTGATTTATAAACTGGTTCCTACTCTTTATTTCAAGAGGAAGCATTAAATGTGAAGTGCCAATTTATGAAATAAGTGAAATCTTGCCATTTGTTAACTGGATGGGTTGATGCTTGTGAAGCTTATCTACTAAAACCTGGTGAACATAGGCTAATGTCAACTTACAGATGCTACCAATTATGTGGACTTTTTATTTTTCACTTAAAAAAGTTACGAATGTTAAGTATGTGGTAAGAAAATAAATTCAAAAAGTATAGAAGGATAGGAAACAAAGTAAATGCAAACAGTATAGAAGGATAGGAATCAAAGATGTGAAAGTCACCTTTTACACCCATTTCCAGAGCCACCAGTCATTCTTTGGTTCTGGTTAATCTCATGGGAAGCACCCTCACTCTATAGAATGTGCTCACACATCCATTTCTAGATTAGTCAGTAACTTGTGACCCCTTGTGAAAAAATTAAACACTTAGCTCACACCATATACCACTTCCCTTCCTTCCTGATTTTTGTTGGAATTCTACTCTAACTTGAAATAATACTTTTAATTTTATTTACTCTAACACACTGTTTCTTGATTTATTAACTTTATATAATGTCTATCAAACATTCTTCACCACTTCAACTATGTAAGTTGAAGAAAGTTCATGTGCTGTTTTCTGTTGTTTATAACAGAATACCTAAAACTAACAGAATACCTGAGTAATTTGTAAAAAAATTAATTTATTTCTTACAGTCATGGAGGCTGAGAAGTCCAAGGTCAAGGGGCTGCATGTAATGAGGGCCTTCTTGCTGGTGGGGACTCTGCAGAGTCCCATAGGGGCACAGGGCATCACATGGTGAAGGGGCTGAGTGTGCTAGCTCAGGTCTCTCTTCCCTTCTTATAAAGCCACCTGCTCCAGTCCCATGATAATCCATTAATTCATGAAGGTATTAATCCATTTCATGAGGGCAGAGTTCTCATGACCTAATCACCTCTTCAAGGTCCCACATCTTAGTACTGCCATATTGGGGAATAGGTTTCAACATGGATTTTGGAGGAAACAAACATTCAGACCCTGTAGTATTCACTTTTCTCCTTTTCTTTTCCTCCTTCACTCCCCTACCTCACCCTTTGTCAACAATACCATTGTTGTTGTTATTATCATTTGCCTTCTTACATCTATACTTATCTCTATAGTTTGATCAGGGGTTAATTCTAAATAGTGTCAGTATCCAGCATTGACAATATCAAGATTATAGTATAATATTGCCCACTGCATACCCTGGAAGTGGAAGATCAGACCCATAAAGAGCAGTGTTTGTCATAAACCTCTGCCTGTAGAAGGAGACTGTTTCAGTCATTGAGATCAAGTGGATTCTCCTTTTTATCAATTGCTCCAAATCAGGCTACAACTTAATTTGCTTCATGTTTGGACCATGACTTCCCATTTATTTCTTTTTCATTGTCATGAGATATAACTTTATAAACTCATGGCTCCTAGATGCTCAGTAATTTCTAGTAACCAGGAAAGCTCAGAAGTCTTTATTTTCTACACATAATACAAATAAAGCAATTTCCAAAATTAAAAAAAAAAAACTTCTGTATATTGTTAATCACTTTTTTGGTCCCAAGAATAATATGATCACATAATCTCCTACTATAGCCTTTTCTGTGTTCACTTTCTTTTCTCAAAATCATAATGTTCTCATTACACCACAAAAGCAGTTTCAGTCAAACCTCATTGCCACTTGATGGAGTTTCCTCGAAGCCATTATGTAGGCGCTCCTCTTGACAAATACATTATCAGAGCTTCATTGGGCTGCTTCCAGGGTGATATGGCTCATGTACTGGACACTTTTGAGGTTTGTCGTTTGTCTACTGATTCATGAATAGAGTAGGAGAATCTCAGGTATGAAGGAACTTTCTAAGTCTACTTGCGTGACCCTGTTCCAGGTGCTTTGTCTGTAGATTGTTGAATACGCCTCCCTTCAAGAGGTGGAGCTCAATTCCCCTGCCCTTGACTGTGACCCAAACACTAGAGACTCACTTCCAACTAATAGGATTATGGCAGAAGTAACAGTGTGCAATTTCTGAGACTAGGTCAAAAAGGCATTGTGGCTTCCTCCTTGGGCTCTCTGTTGAATCACTCTCTCTTGGTGAGACCAACCACCATGTCAGGAGGACACTCAAACAGCACTATGGGGAAGCCTATTTCACAAAAAACTGCAACTTCCTTCCCAACAGCTGCTTCTGAGAAACTAGGTCTTCCTGCCAACAGCCTCAGAGATCTGAGTGAGCCTTCAGATGACAGCATCCTTGGCAATATCTTGATTGAAATCTCATTGGAGGTCCTGCAAAAGAACCACCCAATGAAGCCACTGTGGAATTTCTGACCCATGGAAACTGAGATAATAACTGTTTGTTGTCGTAAACGACTACATTTTGGGAGAATTTATTATGTAGCAATAGATAACTAATAAACCTTTTAAGCCCTTTCTTCTAATGAGCCACAATGACAAATCAAGGTGCTCTGTTGCCATCTTCAGGCAGCTGTTGGGCTTTGGGTTTCATCAGTAGATCCCGGTTCTCTTTTTGGGGATCCTCTGGGATAAATCTGATGAGTGTCTTCTAACATTGCAGTCTCTAATCAAGTTTCCCTGACCTCTTAAGCCTCCTCACTTCCAGCCTTTCATTCTGTATTTGT